CGTTCCTCAAAGTCGTCCTACCAACATGACCGAGTTGCGAAAACAACTTCAAGCAGCTTCTATACAAAGAAAGGAGACTGCGACCACACAAAAGGACACACCATCTTGGTCTTCATACCTTTTATTTACAGCGATTCCACAATTGCGCAATTGCAGCCATGACTTTTATAGTTGTCATGATTAAGTTATGATGATTTTGTGATAACGTTACTCTCTGTACATGAATACACACACACACATCAACACATTTAGGGTTACATGGTGTGCTCGGAAAGAGAAATAACCAAATTATTCTAAACTTTATTTTTATTTTTCCATATTTTGTCGCTCTGAGCATCATCAACAAGTAAGAGTTAAAATCTCGCTATAATGGAACTCATGAGAGTGAAAGAGTTATTTCGTTTTAGTGAAAATTTTAAATACCGGATAAGGATAAAAAACAATTACACTTCAATAGACACTACTTTTTTTCGTTATTCCCTAAATTTCGTCATACCGAGACTCGGAATAAGATTCATTTGTGAAAATCCGAAGCCCAGCCCACTCGCATCGAAACTCAGAGAGCCTCCCTTTCGTGGTCAAAGATGCCGCAACGTTGGCCCATCCTGTGCATCTGCTGTCTCGGTTGCCTTGGGCACTCATGGCCGCTCCACTCGGAGTTGAGTCGGCAAGTGTTTCATACAAACGGCTCAGAGCACAGAAAGACTCCTCATCACATTCTGCTCTCCACTCCCCACTCGAGTGCAAACGAGCAGCGCCGTTGCAGCGCTTCAAAAGTCGCAGCCTCCCTAAAATGTTCTCCGACTATTAGGCATAATAGAAAATCATCTTCCATTCAATCATAGTATTTCTTTCCATTTGATGTGCAATTCGACACCGGGACACATCCCGTTGAGCTACTCTTCACTGTACTTATCCTCGGTCCAAGTAGTCGGCGCATTAAGGTCACCATCATTTTTCCATGTTTCTACGGCATTTTCTATTTTTCATCCTACAAAGATTTTGAATTGGCCAGAGCTGCTATTCATCTATATTGCTCGTCTCCGTTCGCTTCTGTATGAATGTATGTATGTGTGTGTGTGTGTGTGTGTGTGTGTGTGTGT